TCAAACGCACATCGCAGAACACCCCCACCCAGCAGAGCTGATGGTGAAGGCCTCTGGGAGTTGCAGTCCAAAAACATCTGAGTAACAAAGGTTAAGAACCAGTGTTCGAGAATAGGATGAGATATGAGGATTTACTGCAGGTCAGTATACTATAGGCTCATCTAGACCACTGGTTCTTAACCTTGGGTTACTCAGGAGTTTTGGACTGCAACTCCCAGAAGCCTTCACCACCAACTGTGCTGGCTGGGGTTTCTGGGAGTTGCAGTTCAAAAACATCCGAGTAACAAAGGTTAAGAACCACTGGTCTAGACTGAGAGAGGGAGAGTGTATTTGGTCCTCTGAGTGATTACGTTGTGCTGAATGAATTTTGATCTTATTCCTAAAGCTGTCTTCCTCATCTGTTTAAGAAATCAGTATCTTTCTAAAAAGGGAGTTCAAAAATATTTCACACTGGAAGAGATGTTTTTTTAAAGAGATATTCTGTGCCAGATTTTTGTTTTGCTTTTGTTTTAAGTAGGTTGGTGCTACAATATTATTGAAAGTCTCCAGTCTGAGCCCTTGTCGGTGGCGATTCACCTTCACTGCTGATCTAATTCATGAGATCATACATTTTTCACAAGAACTCATTCTAAAGCAGTGAAGAAACCCTTTAAAGAATTATCTTCTGTGTTGTGTATGTATAAGTGGAATGGTATATAAGTCCAATAAATAAATAAATAAATAAATAAAGAATTATCTTTTGTGTTGTGTATGTATAAGTGGAATATCACGATCATTGAAAAAGTGTGACCCGGGAAGTTCTTGCTGCCTGAATTTCACCCTGGTGCAAAGTGAAACAAGCAAAAACAAAACAAAACAGCTACTGAGGATGATTTTTAAAGATCCAGAATGCCAAAGTGGTTTTCTTTTTTAAAAAATCCTGGAAGCTAGGGGTTTTCTTGCTGTTTATCACTTCGGCTGCCTAAGCCTTGTGTCATCTTGCCAGTGAGAGAGATGTCATCACCAGCAGTGAACATACAGGGGAACAAGTGTTTTGTCTGGATACGTCCCCAGCCTATGCCTGAGTTGCATTTCAGAGAACTGAACCCCCTTTTTGTTTCTTTTCTGTAAGAGTCTGTGCTCTTATGGGAGTCTTTAAATGCATCAAAAATACAACATAGGTGTGTTGATGACCTCCTTTTTATTGTGGGGTCTTTCATAGGGTCACAAACTTAAGGAGAGTCTGACCCCTGTGCTGAGTTTACTGACTGAGAGTGCCCGTGTCCATCGTCAGACGAGGAAGTTCCTTAAAGCTAAGGTACTGTTTTTTCAATCAGGTAAGATCTATAAAATAAATACTCCTATTGAGCACAGAAGAATATAAGGTGACCCCCTACGAGTGTCCTCAGTTTGGGAACACATTTTCAAGACGGTGTGAAATGAGCTCATAGACTTTCTGAGATGTTGATTGTTGCCCAAACATTGCATAACCATAAGATATAAGATATTTCAGCTCTGTCATGACACTGTGGGAAGGTGCCTTGTGACATATGTCACTGCTTTTTCTATCCTAAAGGAGCAATTCCTTTCAAAGCCCCAAACATGCATGTTGTGGCCATCTAGTACGGGATTGGGAGAGTGGAACTCTCAAAGGGCATACTAAGCAGCCAGAGAAGGAAATCTTGCTTTGGTTTTACTGAGTATGCAGCTTCGATGCTGCCTGCTTCACTACTGTGACAGTCTGATACTTTGCCTTTAAGGACTGTTGGATAGGTCTATGGTTTAGGTATCTCTGTGGAGCCAGAGGTGGAGTTTGATTCCCACTGTGCTTCCTTGACATAGGGTCTGTTCAAGCTTTGCAGCTCCAAGCTGCTGATGATGGTGGTTATAGTGTAGCAAATTGGTTCTATATACTATACTATATACTATGTATAGGCTTACAATGACAATAAATTTATTTGATTTGATTTAATGGAAATTAATCTAAACTAGATGGGAACTGACAGAAGAGATTAGAGAAACAGTGGCTTTATTTAACCTTTGTAAAACTCTTTCTCTTCCCTGTCCTAAAAGTTACTGAGTCTTAAGTCCTGTGCCCATGGACACAGCAGAACAATTGGGCATCACTATTTACAGTACTTCCATTACTAAGATCATGGCCACTGGTCCCATCACCTCCTGGCAAATAGAAGGGGAAGATATGGAGGTAGTGACAGATTTTACTTTTTTGGGCTCCATGATAACTGCAGATGGTGACAGCAGTCAGGAAATTAAAAGACGCCTTCTTCTTGGGAGGAAAGCGATGACAAACCTCGACAGCATCTTAAAAAGCAGAGACATCACCTTGCCAACAAAAGTCCGCATAGTCAAAGCTATGGTTTTTCCTGTAGTGATGTACGGAAGTGAGAGCTGGACCACAAAGAAAGCTGACCGCCGAAGAATTGATGCTTTTGAAGTGTGGTGCTGGAGGAGGCTCTTGAGAGTCCCCTGGACTGCAAGGAGAACAAACCTATCCATCTTGAAGGAAATCAACCCTGAGTTGTCACTGGAAGAACAGATCCTGAAACTGAGGCTGCAATACTTTGGCCATCTCACAAGAAGAGAAGACTCCCTGGAAAAGACCCTACTGTTAGGAAAGTGTGAGGGCAAGAGGAGAAGGGGACGACATAGGATGAGATGGTTGGACAGTGTCATCGAAGCGACCAACATGAATTTGACTCAGCTCCGGGAGGCAGTAGAAGACAGGAGGGCCTGGCGCGCTCTGGTCCATGAGGTCACGAAGAGTCAGACATGACTAAATGACTAAAAAACAACAAATTACTATGAGATTCAACATCTCCAGTTTTCTTTGTGGCTTTTTTTCCCTTAAATGCCTTTTATTCATCACTGTTGCTCTCAAAGAACCTGTTGCAGAGACAAGGGGATATCAAGAGAGAGCTGGTCCATGCCACCATGGATAGAATGTAGTTTTACAGTCCTGTGCAGAGCAAAATGTATTTTGATGCAGTCATCTAATTGTTCTGCTACATGCCCTGGGTACCACAACAGCTGCTCTGTGCTGCTCCACATGTTTTGTCAGTTGGCTGTAGTGCAACAGATGTATCTTTCATTCATGCAATTGTGATAGATGGAAACAATCACATTATTACCTGTTGCACTAACCAAAGGGCCTTCCCAGGTGATCATCTGATCTGCATCGGAGATGTGCATTTATGACTCATTTGCTGCCCAGTTTTCCTCAACAGTGGGTTTCTCATAATGAAGGCATGACATTTTATTAATGCTCAGAGTTCAAAATGACAAGGGAAGTGTCTTTTCTTTATTAGTTGAGGTACACATTTGATTGTGTTTGTGAGTGCTCCATGGGATAGGGTTTGCAGGTGTGCTACAGCTTCCTTTCGCTTGTCTTTGACGACATGATTCGTGATTAGCAACCAGACCTCCTCCCAATGCCCGCTTGGTTTGAGAACTCATTTTATTATTTTACAATCCCTCTTATATTATTCCAGTGTGGGTGCCTATTTTAAAATTGGCAGTTACATTAATGATCCTCTGGGCTGGTGAACCTCTTTGAGGCACTTTTGGCGCAGTATTTTCAAGACCCCGTGAGAGCCAGCTTACTAGAATGGCTTTTTAATGTAACTCTTCCCTTTGCATGGGTTCACAGGTCCTCCCTCCACTGCGAGATGTGAAAAATAGACCAGAGGTGGGGAATTTGCTGAGGAATAAACTTGTGCGCCTCATGACTCACATTGACACGGACGTGAAGCACTGTGCTGCTGAGTTCCTCTTTGTTCTCTGCAAGGAGAGTGGTTAGTGGCTGTTAATTTTGTTTTGTTCGTTTTGCACTGGTTACATTATGTGTTGGCTCTCTGACCAAGGGAGTGGTGAACAGGCTGCTGTGACAATCGTGTAACTTCTATAGGATTCTTAGTGGACCAGAGCCTGGGCAAAGCAAGCGTGCTTTGGTGGTGGTTGTTTGATTATTAAGAACCGAGGCAAATCAAGCACACAGGAGTTATAAGCCAAAGGGTACAATCCTTGAGTAGCAGGACAGATGCAAATAAGGCACCTTCGATATTTACTTGTGATACTCTTAGAAGAAAGAAAAAATTGCATTAATAAAGGAGGGAAATACAATGGAGGCACGGATAGTCACAACCAAGCTTGCATTCTCTGCTCGCTTCCATCAAGGGACCTCTCTTCACAGCAGTATTACCATTTCTTTTCCTGATGGTTTGGAAAATGAAAGTGGTTTTCATGTTTCTTCTTCCCAAAGTGGTATAAATGCCATTCTCTAACACACATATTATTCTACAGAGAATGGTACAACGTTTCCCATGTGAATCTCACATACTTGGTACTCGTACAAGAAAAGGCCTCTAGAGACAGAGAATTAAAGTTGGCAGGATGACAGATGCTTTTTCCTGTAAGTTCCTCCATTGCTGGACACAAAAAGAGATCATGAAGTTTAAAACTCAGTACTCTGTAACCCCAGATCAAAAAGATTTTTGAAAGTTAGAAGATTCTAAAGGTGGTATCCTAATGTGCAGTGCTGTCATCTCTGAGTTAAATTCAGTTGCTCATTTTAAAAGATGGATCTGAACTTTCTTTCGAGACCTTCAGTCAGATGCAAGAAGCCCTGCTGATCACAGAGGTCCAAGGTGCATGGGCAACATAAAAAACTTGTCCCCTCTTCCTCCCTTTGTCCATTTGTTGAAATCCTGACAGGGATGCTACCGGGAAACAAGAAACAGCCTTGCATTTTAAAAAAATTGTCTTCATCTATTGAGTTTGCAGGAGAAAGTGACCCCTTTTGTCTTCCTTTCTTTCAACAGTGTCCCGGTTTGTGAAGTACACAGGATATGGTAATGCTGCTGGGCTCCTGGCAGCACGAGGTCTCATGGCTGGAGGTCGGACAGAAGGAGAATACTCTGAAGATGAAGACACCGATACAGAGGAGTATAAGGAAGCAAAACCCAAGTATGGCCCCATTTCTAACCATCACTTCCCTTAGGTTTTCTCCTTTGCTTCTTTTCATACATACAACTTCCTTCTTACACCATATGTAAATCATTTCTTACTCATACTATTACTCTTTTTCTCCTCTGTTTCCTCTTGGTGCAGTCTTTATTTCTGTGTCTTTAATACTTGGACTACCTCCTTCTTTCTTTCCTTGCATGTATAACAACATTAATCATTGCTTGTGAGACTGCACTTGCAGTTGCAAATGAGAACTTAGCATTTGTTTAGGCCAGCAGTTTTTCCAGCAGAGAATCACACAAAGATATACCACCAGGTTCCACTCTTTGACGTTGACAGAGTTGCTTGATGTAAAAGATTGTATGTTGCCACAGATGATCTAGCCAGTTTTTTCTTAATTCTTGGCTTCTGTTCTGTTCATTATTAGAAGATTCTACCCTCCCAACCTCAATATGTATAAAGTCTTTGTAAGTCTCTTCGTATGAGTTCCCCATAGATTTCTTTGTATGGACATCCTGCAGTTACTCTTTGTATAAACAGCCACTTCACATCAGCATTTCAGGGTTTGCTTCTCACTTTCTCCATTTACTAACTTTCACCATTTTTTCTGTGAATTTCAAATTTACCATAATGTATGTAGGTAGAACTACAGTGGTGCCCCGCATAGCGACGTTAATCTGTTCCAGGAAAAACGTCGCTATGTGGATTCGTCGCTATGCGGGGCAGAAAACCCTATAAGAACACATTAAAACACGTTTAGTGCATTCTTATGGGGGGTAAACTCACCGTTATGCGAAGATCCCTCATGCGGCCGCCATTTTCGCGCCCTCGGTAAGCGAGGGCAGGGCACGAAAACGGAGCCATTTTCTTTACCCAGTGGCCATTTTGGAACCACCGATCAGCTGTTTTTTAAAAATCGCTATGTGATTTTTGGCCATTGGAAACATCGGTATGCGATCATATTAGTGATCGCAAAATCCACATCGCTATGCGGATTCATCGTTAAACGGTGCGCTCATTATGCGAGGCACCACTGTACATATATAGTATAACTGTTTGCTTAATAACTTGCACAACCCCTTTCAATTACCAGAGGAAGAACTGTACCTGGACAGCGAGGGACAAGAATGAACTGAACCAAGACATGATAAAAATACTTTTATGAACACACTTTAAAAGAAAACTGTGAACCAGAGTCTGAAGCAGTGGTTCTCAGCCTTTGATGTTTTAGACTGCAGCTCTCAGAAACTGCAGACAGCATAGCTAATAATAAATAATTGTGGAAATTGAAGTCTAAAACATCTGGAGCATGAAAGGCTAAAATCGCTATGTGATTTTTGGCCATTGGAAACATCGGTATGCGATCATATTAGTGATCGCAAAATCCACATCGCTATGCGGATTCATCGTTAAACGGTGCGCTCATTATGCGAGGCACCACTGTACATATATAGTATAACTGTTTGCTTAATAACTTACACAACTGTAAGAAGAAGAAGAACTGTACCTGGACAGCAAGGGACAAGAATGAACTGAACCAAGACATGATAAAAATACTTTTATGAACACACTTTGAAAGAAAACTATGAACCAGAGTGTGAAGCAGTGGTTCTCAACCTTTGATGTTTTAGACTGCAGCTCCCAGAAACTGCAGACAGCATAGCAAATAATTGTAGGAATTGAAGTCTAAAACATCTGGAGCATTAAAGGCTAATTATAGCATTAGATTTCTGGGCTACTAACTTTCTCTCTGTATTCAAGCAAGCTACTCCACATAAAAATAAATATGATACGCTTGTATTACTAGGAGGGCCACCATTTGCCTTGTCAAGTCCTTGGTGACCTTTTTCATTTATCATTGGGACTAGGTGGTTCTCAGGAGTCATGCAAATAGCAGAATGTTGAAGCCAGGAGAAAAGTCTATTGATTCAGTGTACTTGAGCTTAATATGTTCCCCTGCTTGTTAATTAACATATACTTCTGTTTTCTTTCTCTGTGTTTTATTGTCATCGTGGCTTCTCTGTATAGTATTAATCCTATAACTGGACGTGTAGAAGAGAAACTTCCCAACCCAATGGAGGGGATGACAGATGAGCAGAAAGAGTTTGAAGCAATGAAATTGGTGAACATGTTTGACAAACTCTCCAGGTACCAAATATATATATATAATCCATGAATGGCTTGTTTGTCTGAAAAGTAATCTGAAAGATTTTGGTTCATCAATTAATTATTTTTAGCATTTATAGCGTACTTTGTAACTACAGTTCTCCAGGCAGTGTATGGTTAGATTTTTCAAAAAGGATATAACATCATGATAAAAGAAAAAGAACGTCAAGGGTTGAAGGAATCTGTAACTCCAAATGCAAATCCAACACACAGTTTCTAAATTATTTAATTCCACATATCCTGTTTTGTCTCCCAAGTCATTGGGTTGCCTTAGATTATGAGCAGTTATGGGATAGGAAAATTGGCACAGCAAAAAAACTGTCTTGAGTTCCTGGAATACAGTAGGATAGACCATGTAATTAACTGCTTTTTTCCCAATGAACTTTTATTTCTGCAGCCACTAAGTAGAAATGTAATGAAACTAGATTGCAGAAGGAAGGAGGGATTGTCCAGCTGTCATGCCATTGACTACATGCGGCTCCCCGGGTCCCAAAGTACAGCCTCTTCACCCTCAACATTTTTTTAAATGCACAAAAGCTCCCTCATGCCTTCTTTGTAGCCTTCGTTTCATGCTGCAGTATTCCTGGGGGCGATGGTCCTTATGCACATACGGTCTGTAGAACATCGCTGCAGTATTCCTGGGGGCGATGGTCCTTCTGGACATACGGTCTGTAGAACATCAAGAACAATAAGACACCCCCAGGAAGCACTGCGACAACTTCCTCTCTGGAAGCATTGCAACAGGAAATGGAAGCTTAGAATGAGGCCTTGAAAGAAGCCTCAGCCTTGTCCATGTAACTGAAGTGAAGATCTGCGCAAGTTGTGTTTTTCTGGACGGAAACTCCCAGAACTCTGCCTGGGGTATTCGTAGAGGATTCTGGGATTTGGAGGAGGAGGAGGAGGGCTATTGCTGTTGTTGCTGCTGCTGCTGCTGCTGCTGCTACTACTACTACTACTACTACTACTACTACTACCAACAACAACAACAACAACAGATGGCACATAGGTAGCAGCCAAAAACAACATGTTCTTTGTGGTGACCAGAGGGCATGAGAAGGTTTTATTCTCCCTGTAAAGTATGATATTGTTTAGGAAAAACATCTGGAGGGAAGTGGATATGGGGGTTGGTGTGGCCTTCTGTGGCCCACTGGTGGGCATGTGTGGGCCTTCTGGATCTCTCGAAGTTGCCAGCCCAGGTTCATACCCTGCTTGTCCACAATATGCTTTTGAATTATGTCACTACCACCATGCTCCTTCTGCAGGCTCCAGAGGGATCTCTCTGAATGGCTGCTACTTGGGAGTACTATTGGCAGAGACAGATGGCAGCTAATGCCACCAACATTTCTTCCCAGCAGGCATGCACTTTACAGTAGTTCCTCGTGCATCATTTAGGGGCAGTGCAGGCAGGAGTCCAGGGACTACCTAAAGAGTTCAAAAGAGATATTGGTTGGCAGCAAAAAGGGCAGCAGACGGCATTTTTGATGCTGATACCCTAGGTTTCCAGTATATATGAGATGGGTAGAAATGCTAGTTTGAGTACTGTGTTAACAGTGCTTCTGTTGGAACATTGCTTTCTCTTGCCATTGGTCTTGCCTGTAAGTAGAGAGGTTGATAACGTACAACTCTCTGCATGTTGTTGGACTGCAACTCCCTTCATCTCTCACTCTTGGCAATACTAGAATTAGCGCTGGACACTCAAGAGTTGCTTGTTCAAAAATCTTTCCCCATCAAGCCTGTTGACAAATGCTTCTGGAATTTCTTCAGATTAGGTCAAAAACAGGATATGTGCAGCCTTCCAGATTTGGTTGTAATGCAGCTCCAAGTAGGGCTAGCCGGAAGAGCCAAGAGATGAAGGGAGTTGCAGTCCAACAACACTAACTGTCAGCCTCCTCTTGTGAGAGAATAAGAATATGAACTTAATATTCTTAAGAATATGAACTTAGTATTCTTAAGAATATGAACTTAATATTAACTTAATAATAACAGTTAGTTTATGATGCATAGCAAAGGTGCTCCTTTAAACAAGTGTTGCCGTGAGAAGCAGGATTGCACCACATTGCAGAGTGAAGAGAAAGCAGATTCAGTGACTGCAGCATAGGTTTTATAACAAGCTGGTTTGCACCTTTTCCACTGTTTCCTCTCCCTGTCTCTAAGTTTAGGGGATGTAGTTTGCTATATAAATTGAACAGAATCAGAATACAGTCACTTTGTTTTAGCTGAGGTGACTGAATGTCAACATCTGCTCTCTGCCCCAACGTGGGAACTATAAACTTTCCACTTAAGGGCAGACCAATCTTCCATTGACTTTGGATAAGCTAGAGGATGTTAAGAAAGCTCATGTTGTTTGGCTGTTCTCCCTGAAGATTAAATCTGAAATGTGTTGAGAAGTTTTGAAATGAAATTGTTAATAAACCAATCCTGCATCCAAGGGTTTTGCTTTCCTGTTAGCTAGGAAGCCTTCACACATGTTTGGTGTTCAGACTTTGTTTAGACTCGTAGGGAGCGAGGAGATGGGAAGGCTATGGATACACCCATTCAGGTAAACATTGAGGAGAGCGCCTTAGCTCAGAGAGGAGACACATGAATTGTATGTAAATTCATCCTATATCCCAAATGTTTCATTTTCAGTGAAAGAATGTTTAAATATTTGGCTTGAAAAGGCATCTGCTGGAAACTGCAATAAGCCAGCAATGTGTTACAGTTAACCCTTGACTTACGAACATAATCCGTTCCGGAATGAAGTTTGTAAGTTGAAAAGTTCGTAACTCGAATCAGCATTTCCCTTAGGAATGCATTGAAAACCAATTAATCCATTCCAGCTGTTTTTGGTTCTTAGGTCAAGGGGTGGTTTGTAAGTCGAAGCATTAGTTCCCATCGGAATTAATGCAAAGCCGGTTAATCCATTCCTACCACTAGGGGCAGAATTTTTTTCTTTCTTTTTTTTAAACCTAAGATGACATAGGTTTAAAAAAAGGGCAGGAAACCACAGAGGGAACGAACGAACACTGTTTAAAAAGAACACTTTTTAAATCAAGCACCTTTTACACCAAAACAGGCACCTTTTCAACCAAGCACCTTTTAAATCAAAACAAGCAACTTTTAAAGCAACCAAGCACGTTTTTACCCGAGCAGGTTTTAACTCAAATTGAGCCCCCTTTTTACCCAAGCACCGTTTAACCCAAACAAAGCACCTTTTAAACTAAATTTTACATTTAAAAATGACAATACCAGGCAGTCCCAGGTCTCTCTTCGCACTCTCTAACTGCTTGGACAAGCGAGGAAGCAGACAAGCAGCCTCTTCGCTAACTGAAAGTTCAAATTTCCCGCTTTCCCTGCCTTCCCTGTACTTTTTTTCCATTCGTAACTCGAATCCAAGTTTGCACGTCGAGTCCATATTTTCCTATCAGAACGGTTTGTAAGTCAAAATGTTCATAACTAGGGCCATTCGTCAGTCGAGGGTTGACTACAGAAAATCCAGTACAGTGGTGCCCCGCATAGCGAGGTTAATCCGTTCCGGATTAACCGTCGCTATGGGGAAACATCGCTATACAGAACGGAAAAACCCATTGGAATGCATTAAACTTTGTTTAATGCGTTCCAATGGGGCCCAAAACTCACTGTTGTGCGATATTTCCCCCTCCGGCCGCCATTTTCGCGGCCTTGGTAAGCGAGGGCAGGGCGCGAAACACAGCGCGTGGCCATTTTGGGTGTCCGGCGGCCATTTTGGAACTGCCAATCAGCTGTTTTAAAAAAATCGCTATGCGAAAATCGGTAAGCGAAACGCTTACCAATCGTCGCAAAGCGATTTTCGGCCATAGAAAGCATCGGTATGCAATCGCATTAGCGATCCCAAAAAACGGATCGCTATGCGAATTCGTCGTTAAACGGTGCGCTCGTTATGCGAGGCACCACTGTAGTTAATTCGGTGTCAGTGTGAATGTGTAGAGCTTAAAGCCACAAGAGTGAGCCAGATGCTGCCCTCCTGCCCAGTTTTCTAGCCAACTGAACCCTCAGAATCTTCTTTCCATGGCGGATTTTCTAAAAAAGGGGGATAGTTGTGCTTCTGGAAACTTCCAGGAAGTATAGTTCTCTGAAATAAGGTGTACACAACCGGCTGCCTTGTTTTTGACAACAAGAAAAGGATGTTAGAAAAGTAGAAGCAGAAGTACCAACCATTTCTGCTTTCTGGGGCTGGTTCCAGACAGTAAAGCTTCAAATCCTCTTTCAGAAATACTGGATTCCAGTCCACTTCCGTTCACTGATACGGAAAAGGCTGTTTTAATACAAAGGAATTTCAAGGGGAGACAAGAACAGGAGGTGGCTGAACTGGGATATAATCACAAGTTCCAGGGCATCAGTGAATGTTTAAACTTGAAGTCAGAGGGTAAAATTCTAAAGGTGTGATACCAAGAAGGAAAAAAAGAGCACATCATTTGTGTAATGTTTTCTTAGCATAATGTGTGTGTGAAATAGCTTTCAGAGTTTTGTGTATGGCCAAATGCCCAGCCATTTGCAAGATGCTCATTTGACAGTAGCAACAGGAAACCTGGGTTCAGCCCAGGCACCTGGGTTTGAGGAAATGGATTGTGGTTTGTGGCAGCTCACACTGAAATAAATAAGTTCATCTCTAAAGTGCCGCAACTCTTTGTTTCTATTTTTGCTATCTGAACAAACTGAAACAGACTAATGTGAGTAACTGCAAACCCACTCACACTTTCTTCGCCTTTATTGTTTTCAGAAGGAACAAACTGCCAGGTAGATTTCTATTGGGTCACACCTGAGAAACATCAATTAACTCTCTTGTTTATTCTTAGGATGTTAATGCTAATTGTCTGTTGTCATGGTTATTTTCTGCATCCAAATTTGTCCCGCTCCTATCCCCTACAATGTGTATATATAGCCCTGATCTGATACTCTGTGCATCTGAAGGAAGTGAACAGCAATTGTTGAAAGCTCATGTTAAAATAAATCTGTTACAAATGCTACAATGAGAGGTGCATAGCTAGAGGTGCCACAAGACTACTTCCTGGTGTCTTACTGGTACAGAGAGAGAGAGAGACCATGGCTCTCTTTGGAAAAATAGCTGCAATAGAAGATAATGGATGGATTGTGTATTCCCAAAGTGGACATGTCTCTAGCCTTGACATGTGGCTACCTTTGGTGGTACTCTTTCTCTGTGTCAGGGGTAGAGAACACTGGAGGTTATAGGAGGAAACGTTCCATCCATCTCTTGATCCACCACAGGACTTCTGGGGAAAGTGAGCAGAAGGTCACTTCTGGCCTTTCAAAAAGAGTCTTTGTTTTGCTAAAACAGAGCGGTAGGGGCACTGATTGTTCCAGAGGACAATCACACCCCCTTCTGGAGGCATGATTCTCACATTTTAAGAGACATTTTTGGCAAAGGGGGGGGGGCAGAGATTTAGGAGCTCCAGGGGCCATAGAAATGTTTCTTATTCACACCCTGCTTTAAAATTTTCCTTTTGGGATTCTGTCGATCGTGACAATGCTGCTATTTTCCCTCTTTCTATTTCAGACAGCAGGTCATCCAGCCTATGGGAATGGGTCCAGATGGCACGTTAACATCTATGGATGAAGCTGTTCATCAGATGGCTGAAGAGAGGTTATCATCTGATTCTGACTTGGAATTAGACTAACAGAGCCTGTCTTGTTCCTCTGAAACCTGTGGGCCCTCTATTCTCCCTCCATAACAGGTGCTGTGTCGGAAGATCAGTCCCAGAAAGGACTCTATATGGACTAGATTCCCACACCCAGACAGGTATAATACCTGATTCTTCACTAGCACTATGACACTCTTACCCTTGAGAGCTTTGGACAACTTGGCTCTCTCCTGCTCTCTTTATCCCTCAGTATCCCTGAGCGCTTCATGCTTGGAATCTTTCCAAGGTCTTCCCAGTGTATTTGATGTAGACTGGGAAGGAGGGAGAAGGGAAGACAATCTCTGTATGTATCAAAAGGACATCAGCAGCATATGGAGCATTGGGAGTGCATGTGTGCAAGCTACCTGCATGGAAAGAAAGTGTGGTATACATGCATCTATGCATGCTTGCAGTGGAGGGTGTGAATGGATACTTGTGCCAAGCACATAATGTAGCAACCAGGCTGTGTGGTGATATTTCAGAACACATGAATATTCTGGAGAACTGTGAATGTATACTTGCAGATGATATGTTTGGAACATATTATAGGAATGTGCAAAGAAAGAGAAGCTTGCATTTTTTCCACATGTGATGTGTGAAACTGTACCACTGAATGCATTTATTTGGAAAGTCAGTGGTGAACAAATTTATTTTAAGCAGTTCCCCTTAAGACACATTACAGATGGAAACATGCGGGTAAAAAAAGTGTGCATATGGTTGAATTTGTGTGTGTGTGTGTGTACAAACACATCTGTACATATACATAAGGTAGATGACAGGAATCTGTTTATCTGAACAGTAGAGATATGTGAAAATCTCTGGATCTTTCTCTCGTCACACTGACATACATGTTGATATTTGATTATCTGGAGCTGGAAGGACGCTGATTCCTATATAGTCTGACACTGTATGGTGTCCTCTCTTTCATGTTTAGTCTTATATCATTGCTTTTTGTGCTTTCAGAACAAAAGGCAGTGGGCAGTTGCTTACTCGCATTTCAAAGTATCTGCTTCTATTCCCATTCTTCCATAGCATTTGGCATTCAAAGTTTGCTCTCAAGCATCTTTGTCTTTTACCTTAATTTTAGATTTTTCTGCTCAACAAAGCAGCTCATATCTTAGCTTGTTTCCACTATCAACAATTTCTGAACTTAGCACCAATGTAAATGAAAGATTTTCAGTAGAATAAAGAAAACCTTCTGATGATAATGCATGTGCCTGTGTGATTCTTTGGGATATTGTATATCTGAGCATTTAGAAACAGATGAATGTCTCTAGGTGCAGACACTTTGGGATGGCTGCTGTTGAAGTAACATTATATTGAAACACAGAGCAAAGCAGACAAGCTAAGTGTGAAACTTACTAGACACACAACAAGTTGAACCTCAATGAATTTTATATAGGTCAATCTGTAGTTATTGTGTGTGCAAAGAAATCTTGATTAGAGTATGCCACTGGAGATTAATCACCCACTTCTGTGATTCTGTGGAAGCACTGGGCTGTTCACAGACTGCCTTAATTTTGAGTATAATTATGGCTGATCCTGCTATATATCCTGTTTCCTCTATGTAATAGGAGACTAATGCCAGTAAAATGCTGAAAACCATTGTTCATATGCATTTCAAAACTTTGCAACTAGCTTGGCTATCAAAGAAGTCCTGCTTGATCAACTTAAAGGAGCATTTCGTTCAGCATTTCTGTTTCCTGCAGTGATCAAGCAGCTGTTTCTAGGAAGCCACCACCCAGGGCCACCTCTACCATTACTTCCCAGTCCTCTGTGAATTGGTATGCAGAGGCACATGGTCAGAACCTGTTAGTTCTACTGCTTCCATGACTAACATCATTGATAATACTTCCCCCCCACCCCCATTTGCCATCTTTTTTGAAACCAGAAAGGCGGTGGATGGAGGTATTTCTATGAAATGAGCAGATTGTATGCTGGCATTTTTCTAACCCAAATGGGACTGGCAGAAGAATATTGAATAGTTCTTTACACTGTTTTTCATTTTAAAATTGAAGAAGCTCAAAGGATTCCACAAATCTCTCTAATAAAGGAACACTTGTTTTGCCCAAGATGAAATAAGGTTTAAAAGTAACAAGGCATTAGGAACTGTTCTCAGAAGCATATTCTTGACTTACGAATTAGCCAGTTCTCTGCAGTAAACATTTGTAGAGTTGGTGATTCAAATATCTTATTTGAATGGCTTACCCTAAGCTCACTTTTCCAGTCTAATATTTGATTCACACATTCAACCAAATCTTTTAATTTGAATGGGCAAAAACGTATTTGTTATAAATACAGCTTTTAAAACCAACCACAGACGTTTGGTGGTAGTTGGGAGATTGATCAGCAGGGCTCCAACTGGGCAAAAATTTCCAGAATTTCTAAGTGCAGAAAGATCAGCTAATGCCAAATTTGTATGCCTTTTTTCCCCAGTGACCAACATTAAGATTTGTGAAAGTGTTTTGCTTGGTTTAGTAAGTTGCAGCAAATTTGCCAATTGAATCTGGAAATTATGGAGCAGTTGACTTACCAAATCCCCACTGATTGAATTGGTCTACTCTAGCTGTGACTTACTACACTAAGCAACAAGATTTCTGTCATGCAGCAATTTAATCTGACATGTGCAAGGGGATGAGATTAATTAGCATGGAAGTTTCATATCTCTGAAATCAATTTATTACTTCAAAATTGTTTCTTTCATGCCGTGACACTGTTGCATGCAGAAATTCTAAATATTATTTAGGAAAGAGAACAGGAGGCTAGAGTCAGTCTATTTTGCAGTCTCTCCTCTAAAGAGGTAACCAGTGCTATTTAGGATATAACTGACTGGAATACATCACACTAGTGCTGCATAAGGGTAATTATCAATGGTGTCTCAGTGTTTCTTACACTGTATCTGTCAATTATGCTTTGTATAAGAATCACAGTAATTAATACATGTGACGTGTTCCCAGATTATTTCACTAGCTTGAGGCCCATTATATATTCCCTTCTTTACGCTGCCACCAGTTGACCTCTGTCAACAATATTCAATTAGAAAGATTGAGGTCCATGCTGAGTGTAAAATTGAACAAAATAGGTTTATTGGTTAGTTTACTTAAACAGGTTCTTAGACTTTAAAAGTATTCAGTAATTTAGTAATAACTTGTTTCACTCTTAACTCTAACTTCCTCCCTTAACTCCTCACTATACCACACTCTCTAACTCCCACAGACTAACTTTTTGACTTCAGATTCCCATCTCTGACTCAAACTGACTGACTAAACTCTTCTTCTCTGCTTTACCCCTCCCTTCTAGTTTCTCTGGCTCTGCCTCCCAACAACTCCTGTTGGTGCATGCAAATATCCTCCTACATGAGCCAAAGCAGGGTGATCACCACAATATGATATAGCAATGGTTTAATATTTATAATGTAGCAATAACAGCTTAGCAGGTTTCAGTTTCCAAAACAGGGTACCTCTTTACAAATTACTCCCTTCTAACAACACAGAAGCTCCCTTCCATTTCCCAATGTAAAGCTATGTATGGAAAGATGCTCTGAAATGTAAGTAGAATGTCTGCTAAAGGAATAGTGAGCAGATAAAAGGCTGTCATTCACTAATGTTTTATTTATTTATTTGTTGTATGCCACATTCCTCCCAGGTGGCAGTACTCAAGGTGGCTTAGTTATATATATATATATTGTGCAACAAAGGTAAAAATGTAAGTTTACACTTTAAATATTGGAATATTTTGTAAATAAGAGGAACTGAAAAGATTGTCAAAGTGTTTTTATTTTGATTAATAGCTATTGTTGCAGGATGAATGCTCTTTCAAATTCAAATAGCAGCTAAAACAACAGATGTTGTGTAGTAGTTTCTTATTAGAAATGCTGATATACACCTTGTCATCCCATGTTACATAAACAATATGCTGCAAATTAACATATGCTATATTCCTTTGAGAATCTTGCTTGCAGATTGATCTTCACAACAGCTAGATGGGACTGAACAGCTAGGTTTCCATCATTTTGAGGCAAATGATAATTGCCATTTGATCTCATTCACATCCTTTTACTGATGGACAGTATATTGGGAAATCAGTATCTCTGATGAAATATCTGTGATGCTTTATAAAGCACCCAAGGAATTCAAATTGAAAATAGAAATGGGAGATAAAAAACCTACCAAGCAACCTATAGCAGCAGGTAACATGTATGTTTAACATCCTCTTCGCATCCAAGATCCATAATATTTTTAAACCACTTCACAACCTAACATTTGATCACCATACATTTTTAGTACAAGTCCTTCTTGGATATTTGGATGATCAATGTAACTCAGATGGCTCTTCAAGGAATTCTTCTGATGTATTAAGTTCTATCAAAGTGGGGAGTATCATTTCTTACAAATGCCAGGTCTTATTGCTGTCACCTTTGGCTAGGATGAAACCTATTTCTCCATGATTTAAACACTGAATTCAACAGACAGAGGCCAGATTTCCTATTTGTCTTTTCTGTCAAACTAGAAAAGAAAAGAAAAACCCTGCTTATTTATGAAGCTTGTTTCAAAGTCTTAACAGTTCAACTGCTGATCATGACATAGGCCAAAAAGCAAAGCAACAACATAAAGATGATGTAGCATTTAAACTTCAATCACAATGTGTCACTGTTGAATTGACAGCATACAAACACAGATTCTAGCATAATTTAGACTGATTGCTAAATGAAATTAGTAAAAATAGTTCACTCATCCCTGTAATGTGCAGTCAAGTAAGAACAGATTACAGTATAGCAAACAGGGCTTCCAAGGTAAGTGCGATGTTTAAAGAGTGGTTTTACTGGTTCAACACCCCAATGGGTTTCCATGACTAAGTGTGGACTTGAACCCATGCCTCTTGAATCCTAGCCCATTACGCTATCCAGTAGCCCACACGGTATCTTTCTTCCTTACTCACCCTTACCACACATCATGGCGGCCAAAAAGAGAAGGAAGCAGAGAGAATGTAACTGCCTGAACATTTCTTGGTGCAATCTCTCCCTCAGTTTCTCAAATGCTGTAAATGATTTTCATAAGTGATGCTCATCTATTAAAAAACCTTGGTGCTACCACTGTCTACATTATAATGTCCTTTGGCTTTTCAACATAAGTATTTCTCCAAGGAAAACTGCTGAATAAATAAGGCAATTATTGGGAACTTACCTGCTCATTTGTTAAATACAACCTTCTGTATTGTATCTGGCCTACCTTGTTCCTGTGTGTCCCCATATTACTTCCATTTATTTGGGGTGGGGGAGGAAGCCCATATGTCTTTTTATAGGAGAGATCGCTGTCCATGCAGATGAAGTATTTTAGCATTGAATCAAAGTCCAATTGATAGATCCAACTGGCACAGATCCACCAAATCAATAAACTTACACAAGTGTGAACTTACCACTTTTGCACACTGATTCACCGGTTGAAATCCTGTTCATAACGTAAGCTAAATCATAACTTACTCTCCATTCACCCTGGTAAACAAAGTGTCCCAGTGTGATTCTTGGAGTGCACATGTACCAAACTAGTGTGAGTGCATGCTGCCAGGAATCATAGGAGGGTCACTTCATTTAATGGGGAGGAATGAACGGAAAGTTACGATATCACTTAAGCTATGAACAGGATTTCAGCCATTGGATTTACCTTTCTTGAGACTAATAACTGGATGTAAGCATAATGCCTCATTGTACCCTTTTCACTTTTAATTTTAAATTACTTAATATTTTAAACAAAATAATCTACTGTAGTATTTCTGGATCTAAAAATGGAGCATATGATTTTTCAAATGAAGCATCATAGTAATTTGCAGCTATCGGTGCATTACTGGATTCACAGCCCTAACATAATCTGAGCTATTGTTCTATCAAACTAAAGTGACACATGGGAACATCCAACTAGGAAACAATCACATCAATAGGTGAATTCCAAAGTCCTGTTCATGGATTTATCTAGGAGAGAAAGTGCACAATTGGAAATGTCTAAGATCAAAGTGTTTACAGATTAATGAATTATATAAGAACATAAGCTGGATCAGGCCAAGGGCCCATCTAGTCCAACTTCCTGTATCTCACTGTGGCCCCACCAGATGCCTCTGGGAGCACACAAGACAACTAGATGCCTGTCTCCTGATACCCCTCCCGTGCATCTGGCATGCGGAGGTACCTTCCTTTTAAACCTGGAGATTATACATTCCCATCATGGCTTGTAACCTGCAATGGATTTTTCCTCTGGGAATCTGTCCAATTCACTTTGAAAGGCATCTTGGCCAGATGCCATCATGTGGCAAGGAGTTCCACAGACTAACAACCTACTGGGTAAAGAAATGTTTTCTTTTGTCTGTTCTCACCCTCCCAACACTCAATTGGAATGGATGTCCCCTGGTCTGGTATTGCGTGAGAGGTTCCCTCTATCCACTTTATCCATCCCCTGCATAATTTTATATGTCTCAGTTATGTCCCCCCTCAGCCACCTTTTCTCTAGACTAAAGAGCTCCAAACGCTGTAGCCTTTCCTCATAAGGGAGGTGCCCCACCCCAGTCATCATTTCAGTCACTCTCTTCTGCACCTTTTCCAGTTTTACTATGCCTTTTTTGAGGTGCGGCAACCAGAACTGTACACAATACTCCAGGTGCGGCCTTACTAGCGTTTTGTGCAATGGCATTATAATGTTGCCTGTTTTATTTTCAAGCCCCCTTTTAATGATATCTATCATGGAATTGGCCTTCTTCACTGCCGCCACACACTGGGTTGATACTTTCATCGAGCTGTCCACTAGCACACCAAGATCTCTCTTGATCTGTCACGGACAGCTCAGAACCCATCAGCTGATAAATAAAGTTTTGCTTTTTAGCCCCAGTGTTCATTACTTTACATTTTCTTATATTGAAATGTATTTGACATTTTGCTACCCATTCTCTTATATAAGTTTTGGTCTAAAGTTTTGTTTTTGTGTACTTCTATACCTATTAGAGATTTTACAAGAGAAGTGAAGAGAGGAAGTTTTCCAATCACACTTTGCTACCTTTTCTTTTTCCTTCTTGATTAGCTCCTTCAATTCTGCCTCCCAGCCTAACAGTTCCACCATTTTTTCCACTCCACCGATGACATCTCCAAGTTCAGCCACATCATTGTATTTTGGCTGATATGCAAATGGCCCCACCAAATCCCGATTGATCAGTACACGTGGAATAGAGGAACGGACTGCGCCTGCGAGACTGGCAAAGGGCTCCACCTGGAAATCCAAACACCAAGAGAAAAAGGCAGTGTCTGTCCCCAAATAAAAATCATCATGGCGCAAAGGCACTCAAAACACTGAGCTCTTCGTTCTCGACAAGAAACCAATCCTATGGCCTCAAATTCTTAGCTAAAACCGGAGGCCTACCTCAGACTTCTCTGTATTGCCCATTCAAATACTTTTAAAATAAGAGGGTCATAGGGTATTGCAAATCAGCCTGCCAACAGAAAGGAAGGTGTACACTTAGGATGGTTGTAGGCAATGGGTAGCTCTCCAGCTAGTGTTCGACTGCAACCTCCATCCTCCCTGACTGCGAATGTTTCCAAGGTCTGATGGGAGCTGCAGTCTGTCAACATCAGAGCAGTACAGGTTGCCCACTCCTGTCTAAGTGCTCAAAATATATCATGCATAACATTATTTCCAGCCATCCTTCCATCAAGCCAGGAAGGCAAGCACCCAGTTTTAACCCTAGGCAATATAGGGTAGCAGCTGAGGTGGTGAGAAAAATGATTTGCTTAAAGGCCATCCAGTGAATTATGGCTGAGCTAATATTTGTATCCAGGCTTTTCTGTCCCATACCTCATGCTCTTAAATGCACATTATGCCAGCTACACATCTCATTTAACTAATTCCAGCAGTAATCAAGGAGAGCTGTGCAGTTTTTATTTAGGGAGTCAGATGTGCTGATTCACCACTTCTATCTCACCTACATGCAGGTGGCTTCAGCTGACACAGTTGTTGATGGAGCCAGAGCTCACTGCACCCTGGGCTTTATACTGCTTGCATTGCCAAGATTCTTGGTTCTGTGCACAGTACTTAGCTGGACCCTCTGTCATCTGTCATCTTTATTTCTATCCTGTCACCAAGTGACTGAAAGATTCATCTTTTCCCTCTCTGTCAAAATATTACAGATGTCCAGAGTACAGGTTGCTGTCCTCTGAAGATGCCGGCCACAGAGACTGGCGAAACGTCAGGAAGAACAACCTTCAGAACACAGCCAAAGAGCCCGAAAAACCCAGAACAACCATTACAGATGCTGCTTACATTTAATGTCCTAAACACTAAGAAGCCTGTTCTGATTTAGCAATCTGTGTTCCTCAAGCTATTTATAAAGCCGCCTGATGCATGTCCTAAGCTGCATCTCATTTATCTCTGAATCGCCACCCTCTCTTTCCCTTTAGAACCTCACTGCTTACTCTATTCTTTTTCGAGTTCCTGAACCTCTTTGTCATAAAAACCCCGCTCTCCTTCTCTTCCCGTGTTCGTGATGGCCCAGACCTCAAGGGAGGTGCCGATGATGAAGAGCAGGTCTGCCATGGGAAAATCTGTCACATGCAAGAAGAAGCGATGAGGGAGTTCTTCCCCAAAGAACACAATGTCCGGCTTGATGATTCCAGTGCATATGGGGCATTTGGGGATCTTGTCAGCCAGCACATCCCCCTAAATTAAAATCACACATAGTAATAGAAGGTCAGCCCATGCCATGCAATATTAGCCACAATCTGACATATTACCTGAAATGACAAGGGACACTTTACATAAGAAGAACTACACGGGGTCAGATTGAAGGCCTTTCTGGTCCAACATTCTGTTAACACAATGGCCAATCACTTGCCTATGAGGAGCTCTAGAACAGGACATGGGAGCAACATACCCACTGTCTTCAGTTCCCTGGCAACTGACACAGAAAAACATACTGGAATAAATAAATAAATGAATAAATGCATGAATGAATGAATGAATGAATGAATGAATGAATGAATGAATGAATGAATGAATGAATGAATGAGTGAATGAATGAATGAATGAATGAATGAATGAATAAAAATACTGCCTCTAATACTAGAGGTGACACATAGTCATCCTGGCATTCCTTAAATACTATTGACTGTATATACAAAGCTGCAGTGCAACTAAACTACGTAGAATCCTGATCTAGGCACAACCTAATATCCTCTTGGAATAGGCTTCTGATATTTCTGAAGTATCTTCAGGTTGTCACTCACCCTGAAGTCCTCCCCAGGATAGGATCTTCGACAGACCGTACATGTTGCTGTGGCGAATGTGCCGTGAGCCTCCACTAGTTTATCTGGAGGGATCCCAGCAACTGGAAGGCAAAAAAACAGAACAGGTTCAGTTCGGCCAAACTCTTCCCAGAAGCCAGTGTTAGCACAGTGGATAATACTCTCCTGGGCAGTGTACTACCTTACCTCTCTCCAGCCCATCAATGTTCTGTGTATACAAACGCAGGAGGAGCCCTTTGTCTAGCAGAAGGCGGAGGAAGTAGTGAGCATAGTTGGGCCTGTAATTGCCAGGGTACAGCTCCTTAGCTAACATGAAGAAAGGCTTAGGATTGTGGAAGAAGTAGTTTATGTCAAAGATGGCTTCTGGGTATGGAATATTATACTGCTGGAGGTTACTGTAGAGCCCACTCCCAGGTGTCCTGGAAAGAAAAGAGAGGAAGGAAAATGGGGAGCAGAGTAAGATTGTAAACCAAGCAATCGCAAGGTACCTGCTCTGTGTATATGTGGGAATGGAATGGATAAGAAGAGCGTGAACAGAGTCTAGACATGCCTCTCCAGGGTCACGTACCCACAGTGCAGGTGGCCTTGCCCACTGCCATGTTGTGGGCCTGAGGAACATTCATGGAGCCAGTTCAGCTCTCCAGCTGGAATAAGCACTCCTGCTTTGAGGGATGATAGAAGGGGAAGGCAGAACTGTGCTGCTGCCATCAAAGATTGGCAAGATGGTAGCTGATCAGACTGTCTAGGGAGATGAATTCACACAACACAAGTGAATTCTGATTAGTTGTTAAAGTGCTTGTGTCCAGGCAAAATGCGGTCAATTAAACATGGGGAGCAGGTAAATTATACTTGGTCAACTATGCTAAGTCAACTAAGAAACAAGGTTCAGCCACATGGAGCATTTCTTCTTCATCCTCTGTAACAGCTGGTGTTGCTTGACATCAAATGAACATGGGTCTTACTGGGGCTTTTGTCAACAGTCATTCTAAAACCCCACTTTTCTTCCCCTTTAAAAGAAATAAGAAGTTTTTAAAAGAATTATTCAAAAATATTTCAAAACACTTGAAGAAACCATTCAAAAACACAGGTCCTGTGATATACAAGCTCCATTTGGTATGATTGTTGTGGGTTTTTCAGGCTCTTTGGCCGCGTTCTGAAGGTTGTTCTTCCTAACATTTTGCCAGTCTCTGTGGCCAGCATCTTCAGAGGACAGGAGTCAGAACTCTGTCTGTGCTTTGGTGCAGTTTGTTTGGATAATTGAGTATTTATAGCTGTGAGATCAGCTTTTGTCCTTTTCAGATGGGTGATTATGGTGATCAACATTTTTGTTGTTGTTGTTGTGGGTGCATTGCTGTGATAAGATGGAGAGGGATTATCTGTCACTGTGATTGATGGGTGTTGTTAGCTTCATCCATAAACCCCAGCAGAGCTTCAAAAAAAAGTTTAAAACTCAACAAAGCCTGGCTCCCAACACTGAAAAATACAGCCTGCGAAAGGTCAACAAACTCTACTCAGCCACAAGGACCAGGGATCACTGCGAAAAGACCAACTAATGACACCCATCAATCCAAGTGACAGATAATCTCTCTCCCTTTATAACAATACACCCACAACAAAAAAACACTGATCACCATAATCACCCATCTCCTGAGATGGACAAAAGCTGATCCCACAGCTATAAATACTCAACTGTCCAAACAAACTCCACCAGAGCACAGGCAGAGTTCTGCCTCCTGTCCTCTGAAGATGCTGGCCACAAAGACTGGTGAAACATTAGGAAGAACTGTCAGAGTATTGTAAATGTTATAGGCCTGAACAGGTCCAGACTGTAGTATTGATGAACTGCCATGATGATCACCTGTGTAAGTGCTGAGTCACAGTGACTAAGAAGAAGATGATGCAACATCTGGGGATGATGCAACACCCATGTAAAGGAAGATGATGCAACCCTTGAAGTGACTGGACAGAAGCATCAGTTCAACTGTATACAAGGGAACATTGTGAATATGAATGTATCTCCTGCTTTCCTCTATGCTACTATCCTCTATGTACTTTGCCTCTATTTTTGCTGCCACGCCAAAGGTCTGCTGCTTTGTATATTTGTATATATTTTGTTAATACACATGTCTTTTTGTAGAAGAAGAGTGTGTGGGTTTTTCTTCAATCAGAGAACTCTGCACATTAAACAGCAAGAAGCTGACAAGAACAACCTTCAGAACACGGCCAAAGAGCCCAAAAACCCCACAAAAACCATCAGATCCTGGCCGTGAAAGCCTTCGAGGATTCATTTGGTATATTATATGTTTTTATGGATTGTAGCCACCTTCTTTAGCTGCATGGAACGTAACCTCAGCAGACAGACCTTTATATAATGGGGAGAATGATAAAAGATGGAATGAAATTATAATGCTTCGGGTCCACTGTGTTGATGATCAATCAGATTAATTAAATTAATTAAATTAATTAAATTAAGAGCCACTGACAATTCTTGGGGAGGACAAGGATCTAACTGGTAACTATTAAAAGTCACCCATAAGTCCAGGGCAGGTAACAGATACATTTAAGCATAGAAACCAGTTTAGCACACCTGAGGCAGGTGTGGTAGATGTGGAATCTTCTGATCTGTGCTTCAATCCATTCCTAATCTCCTTTGGATATCGGCTGTCTTTCATACCAGCTCACTGGAAAACACTGATGCACTTCTCGAAATTCTTTTTAAAAGTATTTTTTGTCCTGGATTGGGGAGGAGTGTTTGTTTATGGATGAGTCCTAACACACTGATAGCTTCCTAATCAATAAACTTCTCCATTTGAACTTTGCCCTGTGAATTAAGCAAAACAAACTTCTGGAGATTTTTTTCCTTTTTAAAAAAGCCTTTTTTTTCATTCTTCATCGTGTTGGTACAGCTTTGAGGTTTATGTCATCTGGATGGTGGCAACTCTCTAAGAATTTAACAATAGTAGCACATATTGTGGAAACCGGTCACGTAGCCCAAAACTACTTTTAATTTCTGTGGTTATTTCTTAAAATACATTGACCTTTATGACGTAGCAAGGGATCTGATTTTAACTTTAAGGATATGAGAACAGAGCCTAGCCTGGTGCCATGTTGGAACAGGACATGTACAACTGAGAGTACTCTAATACTCTCTCCCTGCAGTTCTAAAAAGTGCTGTGCATTAATTGCCTCTGCTCTGCTTCTCATGTGAAGAAAGCATTGTGATGTCTGGTGAAAAGAACCTTTTACAGATGAAGACTTCTCTAGGGGATGGGTGGTATGGTTTCTACAGTCAAGAGGATAGGAACTTTGATAGCAGCTCTAGGCATTACCTGAAATCTGGGATTCCACTGGGCGTACTGAGCCCTGCTCCAACCATCACCACTACTCGCTGACATTCTTTCTTCTGAATTAATTCCATCACATCCTTCAGGGTGAGCTTTTCCTTTCCACCACTGTTTCCCCTGCTGCCAAGGAACTCCATTGAAGAAGTGGATAGGGAAAAAGTCTTTGCCCACTGAAACCTTCTGGAAATGCAATAAACACACAATAGGCACAAAGAGGCATATTTAAATGGGCTATGAAGTTCAACACAGGAAGCAGCAAAAAAAGTCCTTATAAGAACTGAGGCCTAAATCCAGGTGTTCAGCTGAACCAGAGCAGACCCACTGAATCAACTGCTCAATGATAAATCAACAATTACATAAATCCTATTGAATTAGCAACTCTAGTTGGGACTAACAACTGGAGTTAGGTCTCACAAATTTGTTACAGCTCACCTCATCAGATGCCTAAAGGTATTCAGAGGTTTGTATATAAATACATTACAGCTGGGGGAGGGGATTGCTGACAATAAAGTTAGAAAAAAATTCTAAAAATAACAGTGAAAACTATCTCATTAATACGGCCACACACAAAACATTTATTGATAACACAGACATCCTAACACAATGTCAGTTGCTAGAAATGAATTGTTGAAGCCAAGAGAATTTTTTCTCAATTCATATTGGGAATATTAGGAATTCCAAACAGATGATTTATGCATGAGAATATCCATCCATGGATTTTTTGTGGATGGTGATTATTCGGTGCAGGAGCCTTCTCACCCACATTATTTTAGTATTGCTATATCCCTATTTGATCCTTGTTCTCCAGAATGATTAAAACAAGAACAGGTGAACACACAAATCAGCATTACAAAACAGCTTGGCCCTGTGATTTACAGAAATTGGTGGGTGACACTTCTAACCACAGAGTTGTGCTATCATTCTTTTAAAGGATCAAACAATTCCACATCAACAGCTAAGTCCTGCAAGAGTTGTTGGCAAATTGTATATATTCTTGTTTCATAACAAAGCCTGTACAACAAACCATTTTGGGTACACTGAGTGGGAGGGGAAACTTCATTTGAAAATGAAACGAGGGAGCTTCTAAATGCCCAAAATGCTACTGGATAATTTACAGACACTCAAGTCAAATTTCAGGCCAATTGACAAAATGTCAGTCACACATCAATCACTTGCCTGAGCATGCACTTGGCACCTTTTTAAACTGCCACAATTAACAGCAGCAACTTCCATGATTCCTGTTAAGCATGTTTAAATACCCAGTTAGATTTTGACACTTGTACATGATGGCCAAGTTCTGGGACTCTGAAATCAATTCAATGAAACAGTTCTTACATTCACTGCAACTACTAAGTCTATCAAGTCAGGCAAAAACAAAAGAAAAATAAAAAATTAAGAAGACAAACATGTTGTGGCACCTTAAAGACTAACTGCTAATATTTTATAGCAGTTAGTCTTTAAGATGTCATATTTTTGTCTTATTTTAATTTTAATTTTTCTTATGTTTTTGCCTGATATGCTCGCACTGATTAACATGACAACCTCTTCTATAACAGAGTTTATCAAGTTATCGTTCCATTTCGTGGCTCTCAACATTCTCTCTGGCATGACAACAGGCAGTACAATCTAAGGCAAAGGCAAGAGGTGTGGCATCTGGCTTGCTGGCTTCCCTGCCTTTCTCCTTAAATAAGGACCTAAAGTGACTTACACCATTAAAAGATAGTATGTAAAGCTAACAGCAGTGAGTACACAGTATTAAAGGATCAAACAAATGCTACAGTAAAAAAAACCATAAACAAAAGAAATACCAAAACACATTCAAACCCATAAAGTACAAAAATTCATTTAAAAAAAAACAGTCAGGCAGTTAGTCATTAAGGGAAAGCTTTCCTAAAGAGAAAGGTCTTCACCTGCTTGTGGAAAGACAGAAGAGATGGGGCCAGCCTGGCCTTCTATAGGAGGGAGTTCCAAATGTAGGTGAGAGAAATACAGTAATTGAAGAGGCATGTAATGTCTTAGCAGAGCAAAAGGCAATCCTTGTTTGCAGTGGCACATGGTTAGCCGCCACTGGAAAGAAAACACGGGCCAGGACTACAGTATCTGATTCAATGAAACAGTTCTTTCATTCACATTGTTACACTGATGCCCAATCTCTTCTCCAGATAGTTCAAGGCCACATGCATGGCCCTTCCATCAGGAGGGAGAAGATATATACATATGAGTGGACTACATGCATAAAACAAAAGTCCACATTTGTTAAATTAAGACAAAAAAAATGTACACATATGGGGGGGGAATCAAGTCATACCTCACACTTAGTAAGCTTGCCACATTTTTCATGCCATTCTCTGGGCTCCCTTGCAGCAAGAGGTTTCCATTTGAAGGGCACAAGATGGGTCTTAATGAAACTGGGAGCAGATTTCTGCATAGCATGGAACCAGAACAGCTCTTGTAACAATGTTGTCGGGCCCATATTGAGAGATGCCGCCAACCTAAAAGAATGCACAACAATCACTTTCAAATGGAGATGCTTGCAACAAGTGAAATGGAATACCATTCATAGTTAATTTAAGTTTTATAAGCTTGGCACTTCCGGCAGAATGTAAATGATTATAAAGTGCACAACCTATATTAAGCAAGGAAAAGACTTTTCTCTCTCTTCAAAGACAGATTCACAATCTATACAATATGCAGGAACAGAAAGGGAAGTATATGGCAAAAGCGTGAGTTTACATTCTGTCGATTAATTTTGGGTTTGGTATACTAAAAGTACCTAGAGTGGTGTAGTGAATGTAGTGATGGACTAGGACTCAGGAGAACTGAGTTTCAATCTCTCCTTTGCCATGGAAACTCACTGGGGGGTGGCAACTGTAAAACTACTCCTTAAATATCGCCTTGACCTTGAAAGCCCTATTAGGTTGGTAGAAATCAGTTCTGACTTGATGGCACATAGCAACAATATATGAATAGGCATTCATGTAAAACAATACAAAGTCTAAAATAGCTAACAAGGGAGAAAGCATGACTTGGTGCGTAGGTTATACATGCAGAACACACTAGGTTCAATTTCTGCCACAAAAATCTCAGTCAGTGGGGTCAAGAGAGACCTCTGGCCAACACCAGGATTTTGATGAACTACAGAAAGTAATAATAGCCATTACTAATTTGACCAAAGCTGCTTTGTAGATTTTGTTATCTGCCCTATATAATTATGCAAAACACACATCACTTTCTTCAAATACTTGTCACACATTACATTCCAGTTCACACTCCTCCATGCTATGCTTTACACTTCCCAAAAAAATTTGTGGCCTTTTCAGATCAATCATTCTTTCTCAGATTATACTGCCACTTACTCATTAATCCATCAAAACTTGTGGCGCGAAGTACATGCCTTCCTGCCGAGATCCTGAAGTGTAACTTCCAGTTCATTCCTCTTTGCTGTCACTGCTTCGTCCTATATAAAAAAAACAGAGAATCAAGAGAACGTTTCTCAGCCTGCTCCCCTGTGAGAAATAAATGATTCCACCAGCATGGGTGAGGAGAGGGCTGTCCTTTCCCCTTTGGTTTGTTATACTAGCGATCTGAAGGCTCAAGCATAGGGCAATGCACTGTTTGCTTCCAGTGATCTTGAGTTAATATGAACAGCTGAAAAACTCTTTACCGTAATGTTCCTAATAGAGGAACCTGTGACTAGCTAATACTTTTTAAAAAATCAATATTGTTGTTGCTGTTGTTATTGTTTACCCTTTGTAATCGCTTAGCTGATGAAAAATGATGATGGAAATGAAAGACGCTACTATGAAACACCTTTTTATGCAACAGAATTCCAAACCGAGTATAATTTCTTCCTCTGTACTGCAAAGAAAACACAGGACCCACTGAATATATGCTCTGTGATAGTGGGAATTCACAATGGCTTTATATCAGGTATCATTTGGTCTTTCAATGCTGCGACTGCCCAAGAAGCAAAGCATTGTATTTCATTCAAAAGCCACTTTCAAAAAGTCTGTGTTCACAAATCTTGTTGCTATCACTTCAGTTGCCATTTTACTAGAGGCATCAAGATCTCTTCTACATCTTCATCAACCACACTATAAATTTGAAATTTGATTGACTGTGGAAGACTGTTCTCTGCATTACTGAATTAAAACTGGTACACTTGATTTTGCTGTCATTAAAATGCAGCTTCATGACACCAAATTCAACAAAGAAATAAAAGGAGGGAAAAAAGACTTTTGTCAGGGTCTAGAGATTGAGATTTGCTGTTCAGATTTTGGAAATCATAGAAACAGAAATGAAGAGGGACAGAAACCCATCTAGTTCAGTCCTCACAGCCATGTTACCCATCAACCTCTACATAGCAGAAAAGTGTGTAGTATATATATATTTAATCCTCCACACTTCAAACCACAAATTATTTATTTAATTTGTAGCCCTATTCCAGAAACAAACTTAAGGTTTGCCCTCTAGATTATCAACTAGAAACACATAAATATTGTTCAAATGCAAAAACAGGTGATACCTTTATTGGAGCACTAAAAATACCTAGCAGCTAGCTTTTGATGATAATTCATCTTCATCAAGATTTGCACCAAAATCTTCTGGGTTGTTCAGAGAGGAATATATTAGAGCCCCAAAGTTATATGGACATTATTCGTGTCATGTGTTGTTTCTTAGGGTGAGTCCAGAGGGAGTCTGCAGATGGTTTGGGGGGAGGTTTCAAACTCCTCCCTAGGCAGCAGTTTGAAATTCATCTCCGAACTGCTTTTTCATAAAGTGCTTCTTCCAGTACTGCAAGATGTAATGATAGCTTCCAACCTGGATGACTTTAGAAGGGGATTAAACAAATGTATAAAATATAGGACTGTCAGTGGCTTTCTCCAGTATCAAATATCCCAAATTTCTCAATATCATCTGTGGGAAATTTGGGCAGGCACATGCTCTTGGACTCATTTTCTGGTTGGGACTACCCTATAGAAGCTGCATGTCAAATGTGTGAACAGAACACTTACCTGGATAGACTTTGCCCGTTTCTTTGGTCTGATTATCTAGCATGGATTCTTACCTCTCTATTGAAAAATGCACAAAGCCAAAGGGAGAGACACTTTACCCCCACTCCAAAAACTGTACTTTGACAACATTCACAAGAGAAGCAGACTATTAAAAATGAAAAATTCAAGAGGCATTGTATTTTCCATGCCCAGAATGGTTCACATCAAAATGAAAGTACAACAGAAATACTAAAATTTAAGTAATGCAGTAAAAAGAAAAACAGATAAATGCAGTAACTTAGAAATCAATGGTCAACCATGCCAGATACATGCTTGTAGAAATAAAGCATTCTAAATAGGTGTTCAGATGTTAAATGAACACTGGGGAAAAATCAAAAGACTTGACAAATTCTCAGATCCCATTCCCATTCACAACATAAGGTGCAATATTTTCTTTGGTTTACTGAAAAGTTTAGATGCATGCACAAACATACAGCAAACAACAGAATACAGAAAATGTCACACCTATAGAGCTGATGAACTACTTTAAAAAGAACAATGGTTACTGTTATCTCAATAGGTTACTTTATTATTTTCTACTACTGTACTTTTATTTGCAAGGCCCTTCTATTTCCTACACAGAGTATTAACACAAATTCTATGTTCTGTGCTGGAAGATACCACTAATACAACAAGTCCCTTCATGGATTGCTGCCTTGTCGTGGTGAAGGGGCTCGAGTAATTCAGAGAAGCTATGGGTTAGGCCGTGAAGGACACCCAAGATGGACAGGTCATAGTGGAGAGTTCTGACTAAACACGATCCACCTGGAGCAGGAACTGGCAAGCCACTCCAGTATCTTTGCCAAGAAAACTCCATGGTCAGAAACAAAAGGCTAAAATATATGACG